TAGAGGTGGTGGTAGTGGTGGTAGTGGTAGTTGTGGTGGTGATGGTGGTAGTGGTGGTGGTGGTGGTAGTAGTGGTGGTGGTAGTGGTGGTGGTAGTGGTGGTAGTAGTGGTGGTGGTAGTGGTGGTTGTGGAGGTTATTGTAGTAGTGGTAGTGGTGGTTGTGGTGGTAGTGGTGGTGGTCGTGATGGTTGTGGTAGTGGTGGTGGTGTTTGTTGTGGTAGTTGTGGTGGTAGTTGTGGTAGTGGTGGTGGTGTTTGTTGTGGTAGGTGTGGTGGTGTTTGTTGTGGTAGTTGTGGTAGTGGTGGTGGTAGTGGTGGTAGTGGTGGTGTTTGTTGTGGTAGTGGTGGTAGTTGTGGTAGTGGTGGTGGTGTTTGTTGTGGTGGTGGTGGTAGCCACTCATGGCAGTCTCTCTGTGGTAGTGGTGGTGGTTGTTGTGGTAGTTGTTGTAGTGGTGGTGGTTGTTGTCGTTGTTGTTGTAGTGGTAGTGGTGGTGTTTGTTGTGGTAGTGGTGGTGTTGGTGCTTGTTGTGGTGGTTGTGGTGGTGGTAGCCACTCACGGCAGTCTGTGGTAGTGGTGGTGTTTGTGGTGGTGTTTGTTGTGGTAGTTGTTGTGGTAGTGGTGGTGGTAGTGGTGGTAGTGGTGGTAGTAGTTGTGGTAGTTGTGGTAGTTGTGGTAGTCGTTGTGGTAGCCACTCACGGCAGTCTCCCTGTGGTAGTGGTGGTGTTTGTTGTGGTGGTGGTTGTGGTGGTGGTGGTAGTGGTGGTTGTGGTGGTAGTTGTGGTAGTGGTGGTGTTTATTATGGTAGTTGTGGTAGTGGTGGTGTTTGTTGTGGTGGTGGTGGTGGTTGTTGTGGTAGTTGTGGTGTTTGTTGTGGTAGTTGTTGTGGTAGCCACTCACGGCAGTCTCCCTGTGGTAGTACGACAGCACAGGGAACCGGCCCTTGCTACGGAACTTGGCGCTGCCCAGGATGATCGGAGTGCTCACGATGCTTGGAACGTAGAGCTCACTGGGGTAGGTCTCACATACCTAGAGATACACACACACAGTGATACACACACACAGTGACACACACAGTGATACACAGTGACACACACACACAGAGACACACACAGTGATACACAGTGACACACACACACAGAGACACACACAGTGACACACAGTGATACACACACAGAGACACACAGTGGTACGTAGAGCTCACTGGGGTAGGTCTCACATACCTAGAGACACACAGAGAGATACACACAGTGACACACACACACACACAGTGATACACACACAGTGACACACACAGTGATACACAGTGACACACACACACAGTGATACACACACACACACAGAGACACACACAGTGACACACACAGTGATACACAGTGACACACACACACACACACAGTGATACACACACAGAGAGACACACACACACAGTGACACACACACAGTGACACACAGAGATACACACACACGTGGCGTGTCCCCGGCGTGTCCCCAGCGTGTCACTGGCGTGTCTGTAGCGTGTCCGTAGCGTGCCCATGGCGTGTCACTGGTGTGTGCGTGTCACTGGTGTGTGTGTGTCACTGGTGTGTGTGTGTCACTGGTGTGTGTGTGTCACTGGTGTGTGTGTGTCACTGGTGTGTGCGTGTCACTGGTGTGTGTGTGTCACTGGTGTGTGCGTGTCACTGGTGTGTGCGTGTCACTGGTGTGTGTGTGTCACTGGTGTGTGTGTGTCACTGGTGTGTGCGTGTCACTGGTGTGTGCGTGTCACTGGTGTGTGCGTGTCACTGGTGTGTGCGTGTCACTGGTGTGTGTGTGTCACTGGTGTGTGCGTGTCACTGGTGTGTGCGTGTCACTGGTGTGTGCGTGTCACTGGTGTGTGCGTGTCACTGGTGTGTCACTGGTGTGTGTGTGTCACTGGTGTGTGTGTGTCACTGGTGTGTGCGTGTCACTGGTGTGTGCGTGTCACTGGTGTGTGCGTGTCACTGGTGTGTGCGTGTCCCTGGCGTGTCACTGGCGTGTCCCTGGCGTGTCACTGGTGTGTCCGTAGCGTGTCCGTGACGTGTCCGTGACGTGTCCGTGACGTGTCCGTGACGTGTCACTGGTGTGTCCGTGACGTGTCCATGACGTGTCCGTGACGTGTCCGTGACGTGTCCGTGACGTGTCCTGTGACGTGTCTGTGACGTGTCCTGTGACGTGTCCGTGACGTGTCCGTGACGTGTCCGTGACGTGTCCGTGACGTGTCCTGTGACGTGTCTGTGACGTGTCTGTGACGTGTCTGTGACGTGTCCGTGACGTGTCCGTGACGTGTCCGTGACGTGTCCGTGACGTGTGCGTGACGTGTCTGTGACGTGTCCGTGACGTGTGCGTGACGTGTCCGTGACGTGTCCGTGACGTGTCCGTGACGTGTCTGTGACGTGTCTGTGACGTGTCTGTGACGTGTCCGTGACGTGTCACTGGCGTGTCTGTGACGTGTCTGTGACGTGTCCGTGACGTGTCCGTGACGTGTCCGTGACGTGTCCGTGACGTGTCCGTGACGTGTCCGTGACGTGTCTGTGACGTGTCCGTGACGTGTCCGTGACGTGTCCGTGACGTGTCTGTGACGTGTCTGTGACGTGTCCGTGACGTGTCCGTGACGTGTCTGTGACGTGTCCGTGACGTGTCTGTGACGTGTCTGTGACGTGTCTGTGACGTGTCCGTGACGTGTCTGTGACGTGTCTGTGACGTGTGTGTGACGTGTCCGTGACGTGTCCGTGACGTGTCTGTGACGTGTCCGTGACGTGTCTGTGACGTGTCCGTGACGTGTCTGTGACGTGTCCGTGACGTGTCCGTGACGTGTCTGTGACGTGTCTGTGACGTGTCCGTGACGTGTCTGTGACGTGTCCGTGACGTGTCCGTGACGTGTCCGTGACGTGTCCGTGACGTGTCCGTGACGTGTCTGTGACGTGTGCGTGACGTGTCCGTGACGTGTCCGTGACGTGTCTGTGACGTGTCTGTGACGTGTCTGTGACGTGTCCGTGACGTGTCCGTGACGTGTCCGTGACGTGTCCGTGACGTGTCTGTGACGTGTCCGTGACGTGTCTGTGACGTGTCCGTGACGTGTCTGTGACGTGTCCGTGACGTGTCCGTGACGTGTCCGTGACGTGTCCGTGACGTGTCTGTGACGTGTCCGTGACGTGTCTGTGACGTGTCCGTGACGTGTCCGTGACGTGTCCGTGACGTGTCCGTGACGTGTCCGTGACGTGTCTGTGACGTGTCCGTGACGTGTCTGTGACGTGTCCGTGACGTGTCTGTGACGTGTCCGTGACGTGTCTGTGACGTGTCGGTGACGTGTCCGTGACGTGTCCGTGACGTGTCCGTGACGTGTCCGTGACGTGTCCGTGACGTGTCTGTGACGTGTCTGTGACGTGTCCGTGACGTGTCTGTGACGTGTCCGTGACGTGTCCGTGACGTGTCCGTGACGTGTCTGTGACGTGTCCGTGACGTGTCTGTGACGTGTCTGTGACGTGTCCGTGACGTGTCTGTGACGTGTCCGTGACGTGTCTGTGACGTGTCCGTGACGTGTCCGTGACGTGTCCGTGACGTGTCTGTGACGTGTCCGTGACGTGTCTGTGACGTGTCTGTGACGTGTCCGTGACGTATCTGTGACGTGTCTGTGACGTGTCTGTGACGTGTCCGTGACGTGTCCGTGACGTGTCTGTGACGTGTCCGTGACGTGTCCGTGACGTGTCTGTGACGTGTCTGTGACGTGTCCGTGACGTGTCCGTGACGTGTCTGTGACGTGTCTGTGACGTGTCTGTGACGTGTCTGTGACGTGTCCGTGACGTGTCCGTGACGTGTCTGTGACGTGTCTGTGACGTGTCCGTGACGTTCCGTGACGTGTCCGTGACGTGTCCGTGACGTGTCCGTGACGTGTCCGTGACGTGTCTGTGACGTGTCCGTGACGTGTCTGTGACGTGTCCGTGACGTGTCTGTGACGTGTCCGTGACGTGTCACTAGCGTGTCTGTGACGTGTCTGTGACGTGTCCGTGACGTGTCTGTGACGTGTCTGTGACGTGTCTGTGACGTGTCTGTGACGTGTCTGTGACGTGTCCGTGACGTGTCCGTGACGTGTCTGTGACGTGTCTGTGACGTGTCCGTGACGTGTCCGTGACGTGTCCGTGACGTGTCCGTGACGTGTCCGTGACGTGTCCGTGACGTGTCTGTGACGTGTCCGTGACGTGTCTGTGACGTGTCCGTGACGTGTCTGTGACGTGTCCGTGACGTGTCACTAGCGTGTCTGTGACGTGTCTGTGACGTGTCCGTGACGTGTCTGTGACGTGTCTGTGACGTGTCCGTGACGTGTCTGTGACGTGTCCGTGACGTGTGCGTGCTGACCCGGAAGTCACGGTTGGCGTCTGTGCGGCTCCACAGCGCTCCGGGCAGACACATTCGCACAAAGTCCTCGGACGTGCTCAGCAGCCTCCAGCCGCCAGAGCGCTCCTCCTCGCGGCGCTGGGGGTTGTACGAGAAGGCGTACAGCTCCTCGTACAGCGCTGGCGGGGGGCGGGGGAGGGGTAGGGGGGTAGGGGGGGGCAGGGGGGGGGTAGGGGGGGGGATGTTGACTACCTCGCCCGGCACGCGAGAGGGTCCTGGGTTCGATCCCGCCACCACCATCATCACCACCATCACCACCACCATCACCACCACCATCACCACCATCACCACCACCATCACCACCACCACCGCCATCACCACCATCACCACCTCCATCACCACCACCACCCCCATCACCACCATCACCATCACCACCGCCACCACCAGAACCACGGCGAACTCCATCCAGCAGCGGAGAGAGCCGGTCACCACACTCACCGGGCCTGGAGAGCCGTAGCAGCGAGGTGTGGATGTCGTGGCAATCTCTCTCGCGCGCCATCACGAACGTCGCCACAACCACCACCACCACCACCATCACCACCACCACGTCCATCACCACCACCACCACCACCATCACCACCACCACTTCCATCACCATCACCACCACCACCCCCATCACCACCATCACCACCACCACCACCTCCATCACCACCACCGCCACCACCACCTCCTCCATCACCACCTCCACCACCACCACCTCCTCCATCACCACCACCATCACCATCACCACCACCATCGCCACCACCACCAAAACCACGGCGAACTCCATCCAGCAGCGGAGAGATCCAGTCACACTCACCGGGCCTGGAGAGCCGTAGCAACGAGGTGTGGATGTGGTGGCAATCTCTCTCGCGCGCCATCACGAACGTCGCCACAACCACCACCACCACCACCATCACCGCCACCATCACCACCACCACCACAACCATCACCACCACCACCACTTCCATCACCACCACCACCACTTCCATCACCATCACCACCACCACAACCATCACCACCACCACCACCACCTCCATCACCACCACCACCACCACCATCACCACCACCACAACCATCACCGCCACCACCACCTCCTCCATCACCACCTCCACCACCACCACCTCCTCCATCACCACCACCATCACCATCACCACCGCCGCCACCACCACCACCATCACCACCACCACCAGAACCACGGCGAACTCCATCCAGCAGCGGAGAGAGCCGGTCACCACACTCACCGGGCCTGGAGAGCCGTAGCAGCGAGGTGTGGATGTCGTGGCAATCTCTCTAGCACACGCTCCATTAACAACGTCGACACAACCACCACCACCATCACCTCCATCACCACCACCATCGCCACCACCACCTCCATCACCATCACCACCACCACCACCACCACCTCCATCACCACCATCACCACCGCCACCACCACCGCCACCACCACCGCCACCACCTCCATCACCACCTCCACCACCACCACCACCATCACCACCACCATTACCACCGCCACCACCACCAAAACCACGGCGAACTCCATCCAGCAGCGGAGAGAGCCGGTCACCACACTCACCGGGCCTGGAGAGCCGTAGCAACGAGGTGTGGATGTCGTGGCAATCTCTCTCGCGCGCCATCACGAACGTCGCCACCTGGAAGTTCTTGCAGCTGATGAGCAGAGGGCAGCCTAGAGTGGTGGTGGGCAACTTCTCAACGCTGGCGATGTGGTTGTGTAGGATCTGTAGGGGCAGTGCATAGTGTGTAGTGTAGTGTGTAGTGTAGTGTGTAGTGTATAGTAGTGTGTAGTGTAGTGTGTAGTAGTGTAGTGTAGTGTGTAGTGTAGTGTGTAGTGTAGTGTGTAGTAGTGTAGTGTGTAGTAGTGTAGTGTGTAGTAGTGTAGTGTGTAGTGTAGTGTGTAGTGTAGTGTAGTGTGTAGGATCTGTAGGGGCAGTGCATAGTGTGTAGTGTAGTGTGTAGTGTAGTGTGTAGTGTAGTGTGTAGTGTAGTAGTGTAGTGTGTAGTGTAGTGTGTAGTGTATAGTAGTGTAGTGTGTAGTGTAGTGTGTAGTAGTGTAGTGTGTAGTGTAGTGTGTAGTGTAGTGTGTAGTGTAGTGTGTAGTGTAGTGTGTAGTGGTGTAGTGTAGTGTGTAGTGTAGTGTGTAGTAGTGTAGTGTGTAGTGTAGTGTGTAGTGTAGTGTGTAGTGTAGTGTGTAGTGTAGTGTGTAGTTGTGTAGTGTGTAGTAGTGTAGTGTAGTGTGTAGTAGTGTAGTAGTGTAGTGTATAGTGTAGTGTGTAGTGTAGTGTGTAGTGTAGTGTGTAGTAGTGTAGTGTGTAGTAGTGTGTAGTGTGTAGTGTAGTGTGTAGTAGTGTAGTGTGTAGTGTAGTGTGTAGTGTAGTGTGTAGTGTAGTGTGTAGTAGTGTAGTGTGTAGTAGTGTAGTGTGTAGTGTAGTGTGTAGTGTAGGTGTAGTAGTGTAGTGTGTAGTGTAGTGTAGTGTGTAGTAGTGTAGTGTGTAGTGTAGTGTGTAGTGTAGTGTGTAGTGTAGTGTGTAGTGGTGTAGTGTAGTGTGTAGTGTAGTGTGTAGTGTAGTGTGTAGTGTAGTGTGTAGTGTAGTGTAGTGTGTAGTGTAGTGTGTAGTAGTGTAGTGTATAGTAGTGTAGTGTGTAGTGTAGTGTGTAGTGTAGTGTGTAGTGTAGTGTGTAGCAGTGTAGTGTGTAGTGTAGTGTGTAGTGTAGTGTGTAGTGTAGTGTGTAGTAGTGTAGTGTGTAGTGTAGTGTAGTGTGTAGTAGTGTAGTGTAGTGTGTAGTGTATAGTAGTGTGTAGTGTAGTGTGTAGTGTAGTGTGTAGTGTATAGTGTAGTGTAGTAGTGTAGTGTGTAGTGTAGTGTGTAGTAGTGTGTAGTGTAGTGTGTAGTGTAGTGTGTAGTGTAGTGTGTAGTGTAGTGTAGTAGTGTAGTGTGTAGTGTAGTGTGTAGTAGTGTGTGGTAGTGTGTAGTGTATAGTGTAGTGTAGTGTGTAGTAGTGTAGTGTATAGTAGTGTAGTGTGTAGTGTAGTGTGTAGTAGTGTAGTGTGTAGTGTAGTGTGTAGTGTAGTGTGTAGTAGTGTAGTGTGTAGTGTGTAGTAGTGTAGTGTGTAGTGTAGTGTGTAGTTGTGTAGTGTAGTGTGTAGTGTAGTGTGTAGTGTAGTGTGTAGTGTAGTGTGTAGTGTAGTGTGTAGTGTAGTGTGTAGTAGTGTAGTGTGTAGTGTAGTGTGTAGTTGTGTAGTGTAGTGTGTAGTGTGTAGTGTAGTGTGTAGTGTAGTGTGTAGTGTAGTGTGTAGTGTATAGTAGTGTGTAGTGTAGTGTGTAGTAGTGTAGTGTAGTGTGTAGTGTAGTGTGTAGTGTAGTGTGTAGGATCTGTAGGGGCAGTGCATAGTGTGTAGTGTAGTGTGTAGTGTAGTGTGTAGTGTAGTGTGTAGTTGTGTAGTGTAGTGTGTAGTAGTGTAGTAGTGTAGTGTGTAGTGTAGTGTGTAGTGTAGTGTGTAGTGTAGTGTGTAGGATCTGTAGGGGCAGTGCATAGTGTGTAGTGTAGTGTGTAGTGTAGTGTGTAGTGTAGTGTAGTGTGTAGTGTAGTGTGTAGTAGTGTAGTGTGTAGTGTGTAGTAGTGTAGTGTGTAGTGTAGTGTGTAGTGTAGTTTGTAGTGTAGTGTGTAGTGTAGTGTAGTGTGTAGTGTAGTGTAGTGTGTAGTGTAGTGTAGTGTGTAGTGTAGTGTAGTGTGTAGTGTAGTGTGTAGTAGTGTAGTGTGTAGTAGTGTAGTGTGTAGTAGTGTAGTGTGTAGTGTAGTGTGTAGTGTAGTGTGTAGTGTAGTGTAGTAGTGTAGTGTGTAGTGTAGTGTGTAGTAGTGTAGTGTGTAGTGTAGTGTGTAGTGTAGTGTGTAGTGTAGTGTGTAGTGTAGTGTGTAGTAGTGTAGTGTGTAGTGTAGTGTGTAGTGTATAGTAGTGTGTAGTGTAGTGTGTAGTGTGTAGTGTAGTGTGTAGTGTAGTGTGTAGTGTAGTGTAGTGTGTAGTAGTGTAGTGTGTAGTGTGTAGTAGTGTAGTGTGTAGTGTAGTGTGTAGTGTAGTGTGTAGTGTACTGTGTAGTGTAGTGTGTAGTGTAGTGTGTAGTGTAGTGTGTAGTAGTGTAGTAGTGTAGTGTGGTGTGTAGTGTGTAGTGTAGTGTGTAGTGTAGTGTGTAGTGTATAGTGTAGTGTGTAGTGTATAGTGTAGTGTGTAGTAGTGTAGTGTGTAGTGTAGTGTGTAGTGTGTAGTGTATAGTAGTGTAGTGTGTAGTGTAGTGTGTAGTGTAGTGTGTAGTAGTGTAGTGTGTAGTGTAGTGTGTAGTGTAGTGTAGTGTGTAGTGTAGTGTGTAGTGTAGTGTAGAGTGGTGTAGTGTAGTGTGTAGTGTAGTGTGTAGTAGTGTAGTGTGTAGTGTAGTGTGTAGTGTAGTGTGTAGTGTAGTGTATAGTGTAGTGTATAGTGTAGTGTAGTGTGTAGTGTATAGTGTAGTGTTGTGTATAGTGTATAGTGTAGTGTGTAGTGTAGTGTGTAGTGTAGGGTGTAGTGTATAGTGTAGTGTGTTGTGTAGTGTGGTGTGTAGTGTAGTGTAGTGTGTAGTGTAGTGTGTAGTGTAGTGTATAGTGTGGTGTGTATAGTGTAGTGAGTGTAGGCGTGAGTGTATGTGTGAGTGTAGGGGTGAGTGTAGGGGTGAGTGTAGGGGTGAGTGTGTGTGTGAGTGTATGTGTGAGTGGGTGAGTGTAGGGGTGAGTGTAGGGGTGAGTGTATGTGTGAGTGAGTGGGTGAGTGCAGGGGTGAGTGTATGGGTGAGTGAGTGTAAGGTTGAGTGAGCATAGGGGTGAGTGTAGGGGTGAGCGTAGGGGTGAGTGTATGAGTGAGTGTATGCGTGAGCGAGTGGGTGAGTGTATGGGTGAGTGGATGTGTGAGTGAGTGGCTGAGCGAGTGGGTTAGTGTAGGGGTGAGTGTATGGGTGAGTGGGTGAGTGTATGGGTGAGTGTATGGGTGAGTGTATGGGTGAGTGTAGGGGTGAGTGTATGTGTGAGTGTATGGGTGAGTGTAGGGGTGAGTGTAGGGGTGAGTGTAGGGGTGAGTGTATGTGTGAGTGAGTGTAGGGGTGAGTGTATGTGTGAGTGGGTGAGTGTAGGGGTGAGTGTATGGGTGAGTGTATGTGTGAGTGGGTGAGTGTATGGGTGAGTGTATGGGTGAGTGAATGTGTGAGTGTATGGGTGAGTGTATGTGTGAGTGTATGGGTGAGTGTATGGGTGAGCGTAGGGGTGAGTGTATGTGTGAGTGGGTGAGTGTAGGGGTGAGTGTGTGTGTGAGTGTATGTGTGAGTGGGTGAGTGTATGTGTGAGTGTATGTGTGAGTGTATGTGTGAGTGTACGTGTGAGTGTACGTGTGAGTGTATGTGTGAGTGGGTGAGTGTATGTGTGAGTGTATGTGTGAGTGGGTGAGTGTACGTGTGAGTGTACGTGTGAGTGTACGTGTGAGTGGGTGAGTGTATGTGTGAGTGTATGTTTGAGTGGGTGAGTGTATGTGTGAGTATATGTGTGAGTGTAGGGGTGAGTGTATGGGTGAGTGTATGTGTGAGTGTATGTGTGAGTGGGTGAGTGTATGTGTGAGTGTATGTGTGAGTGGGTGAGTGTATGTGTGAGTGTATGTGTAAGTGTATGTGTGAGTGTATGTGTGAGTGTATGTGTGAGTGTACGTGTGAGTGTATGTGAGTGTACGTGTGAGTGTATGTGTGAGTGTAAGTGTGAGTGGGTGGGTGACTGTATGTGTGAGTGTATGTGTGAGTGTATGTGTGAGTGTATGTGTGAGTGGGTGAGTGTATGGGTGAGTGTATGTGTGAGTGGGTGAGTGTATGTGTGAGTGGGTGAGTGTATGTGTGAGTGGGTGAGTGTAGGGGTGAGTGTATGTGTGAGTGTATGTGTGAGTGTATGTGTGAGTGTATGTGTGAGTGTATGTGTATGTGTGAGTGAGTGTGTGTATGTGTGAGTGTATGTGTGAGTGTATGTGTGAGTGTACGTGTGAGTGTATGTGTGAGTGGGTGGGTGACTGTATGTGTGAGTGTATGTGTGAGTGTATGTGTGAGTGTATGTGTGAGTGGGTGAGTGTATGGGTGAGTGTATGTGTGAGTGGGTGAGTGTATGTGTGAGTGGGTGAGTGTATGTGTGAGTGGGTTAGTGTAGGGGTGAGTGTAGGGGTGAGTGTATGTGTGAGTGTATGTGTGAGTGTATGTGTGAGTGTATGTGTGAGTGAGTGTGTGTATGTGTGAGTGTATGTGTGAGTGTATGTGTGAGTGGGTGAGTGTATGTGTGAGTGTATGTGTGAGTGTATGTGTGAGTGGGTGAGTGTATGAGTGAGTGGGTGAGTGTATGTGTGAGTGTATGTGTGAGTGTATGTGTGAGTGTATGTGTGAGTGGGTGAGTGTATGAGTGAGTGGGTGAGTGTATGTGTGAGTGTATGTGTGAGTGTATGTGTGAGTGGGTGAGTGTATGTGTGAGTGTAGGGGTGAGTGTAGGGGTGAGTACCCAGGTCTCTTTGCGAGTCTTGGTGGGTGACTCCACAAATATGAGGTGAGTAGCAGTCAGGTAAAGTGTCCCCTCGGCTGGTCTGCGGGAGCTGAACCGTTCCTGCAGTCGCACATTGTCCACCTGACGGGGCCGGCGTGCCACAACCACCGCCACAACCATCAGCACAACCACCAGCACAACCATCAGCACAACCACCAGCACAACCATCAGCACAACCACCACCGCCACAACCATCAGCACAACCACCGCCACAACAATCATCACAGCCACCACCGCCACAACCATCAGCACAACCACCAGCACAACCATCAGCACAACCACCAGCACAACCATCAGCACAACCACCACCACAGCCATCAGCACAACTACCAGCACAACCATCAGCACAACCACCAGCACAACCATCAGCACAACCACCAGCACAACCATCAGCACAACCACCAGCACAACCACCAGCACAACCATCAGCACAACCACCACCGCCACAACCATCAGCACAACCACCGCCACAACAATCATCACAGCCACCACCGCCACAACAATCATCACAACCACCAGCACAACCATCAGCACAACCATCAGCACAACCACCACCACCACAACCATCAGCACAACCACCACCGCCACAACCACCAGCACAACCACCACCAGCACAACCACCAGCACAACCACCATCAGCACAACCACCAGCACAACCACCACCACAACCATCAGCACAACCACCAGCACAACCACCGCCACAACCATCAGCACAACCACCAGCACAACCATCAGCACAACCACCGCCATAACAATCATCACAACCACCACCACCACAACCATCAGCACAACCACCAGCACAACACCACCGCCACAACCACCAGCACAACCACCACTGCCACAACCACCAGCACAACCACCGCCACAACCACCAGCACAACCATAGGCACAACCACCGCCATAACAATCATCACAACCACCACCACAACCATCAGCACAACCACCACCACCGCCACAACCACCAGCACAACCACCACCGCCGCCACCACAACTACCACAACCACCACCACCACAACCACCAACACAACCACCACCACAACCACCAACACAACCACCGCCACAACCATCAGCACAACCATTAGCACAACTACCAGCACAACCACCGCCACCACAACCATTGGCACAACCATCAGCACAACCACCGCCACAACCATCAGCACAACTACCAGCACAACCACCGCCACCACAACCATTGGCACAACCATCAGCACAACCACCGCCACAACCATCAGCACAACCATCAGCACAACTACCAGCACAACCACCGCCACCACAACCATTGGCACAACCATCAGCACAACCACCGCCACAACCATCAGCACAACTACCAGCACAACTACCAGCACAACCACCGCCACCACAACCATTGGCACAACCACCAACACAACCACCGCCACAACCATCAGCACAACCATCAGCACAACTACCAGCACAACCACCGCCACCACAACCATTGGCACAACCACAACCACCACCGCCGCCACCACAACCACCACCACCACCATCAACACAACCACCACCACCAGCATCAGCACAACCACCACCACCATCAGCACAACCACCACCACCGCCACAACCATCAGCACAACCACCGCCACCACAACCATTGGCACAACCACAACCACCACCGCCGGCACCACAACCACCACCACCATCAGCACAACCATCACCACCATCAGCACAACCACCACCACTAGGACTAGTTTAACACTACTACACTAGTGTATTAGTGTAGTAGTGTTACTACTGCTACACTAGTGTAGTAGTGTTACACTACTACACTAGTGTAGTGTTACACTACTACACTAGTAGTGTAGTAGTGTAACACTACTACACTAGTAGTGTAGTAGTGTAACACTACTACACTAGTGTAGTATAACACTAGTGTAGTAGTGTTACTACTACACTAGTGTAGTAGTGTTACTACTACTACACTACTACTACACTAGTGTAGTGTTTGTAGTAGTGTTACTACTGCTACACTAGTGTAGTAGTAGTAACACTACTACACTAGTGTAGTAGTGTTACTACTACTACACTACTACTACACTAGTGTAGTGTTTGTAGTAGTGTTACTACTGCTACACTACTACTCTAGTGTTATACTACACTACACTACTAGTGTAGTAGTGTTACTACTGCACTACTACACTAGTGTAATAGTGTAGTAGTGTTACTACTGCACTACTACACTAGTGTAATAGTGTAGTAGTGTTACTACTGCAATACTACACTAGTGTAATAGTGTAGTAGTGTTACTACTACACTAGTGTAGTAGTGCAGCAGTAACACTAGTGTAGTAGTGTTATACTACTACACTAATACACTAGTGTAGTAGTATAACACTACTACACTAGTGTTATACTACTACACTACTACTACACTACTAGTGTAGTAGTGTTACACTACTACACTAGTAGTGTAGTAGTGTTGTAGTAACACTAGTGTAGTAGTGTAACACTACTACACTAGTGTAGTGTCGTGTTCAGTGCAAGGCTTGAACCAGGCCTCGTTCAGGTTCAATCCCGGAAGAGGGGAAGGAGAAAGGCGAGGAGGAGGAGGTGTAGGAGATAGAGGAGGTGTAGGTGGTGTAAGTAGAGGAGGTGTAGGTGGTGTAAGTAGAGGAGGTGTAGGAGATAGGAGGTGTAGGAGATAGAGGAGGTGTAGGAGATAGAGGAGGTGTAGGAGATAGAGGAGGTGTAGGAGATAGAGGAGGTGTAGGAGATAGAGGAGGTGTAGGAGATAGAGGAGGTGTAGGAGATAGAGGAGGTGTAGGAGATAGAGGAGGTGTAGGAGATAGAGGAGGTGTAGGAGATAGAGGAGGTGTAGGAGATAGAGCAGGTGTAGGAGATAGAGCAGGTGTAGGAGATAGAGCAGGTGTAGGAGATAGAGGAGGTGTAGGAGATAGAGGAGGTGTAGGAGATAGAGGAGGTGTAGGAGATAGAGGAGGTGTAGGAGATAGAGGAGGTGTAGGAGATAGAGGAGGTGTAGGAGATAGAGGAGGTGTAGGAGATAGAGGAGGTGTAGGAGATAGAGGAGGTGTAGGAGATAGAGGAGGTGTAGGAGATAGAGGAGGTGTAGGAGATAGAGGTGTAGGAGATAGAGGAGGTGTAGGAGATAGAGGAGGTGTAGGAGATAGAGGAGGTGTAGGAGATAGAGGAGGTGTAGGAGATAGAGGAGGTGTAGGCGATAGAGGAGGTGTAGGAGATAGAGGAGGTGTAGGAGATAGAGGAGGTGTAGGAGATAGAGGAGGTGTAGGAGATAGAGGAGGTGTAGGAGATAGAGGAGGTGTAGGAGATAGAGGAGGTGTAGGAGATAGAGGAGGTGTAGGTGGTGTAAGTAGAGGTGTAGGAGATAGAGGAGGTGTAGGTAGAGGAGGTGTAGGTGGTGTAGGTAGAGGAGGTGTAGGAGGAGGAGGTGTAGGCGGTGTAGGTAGAGGAGGTGTAGGTAGAGGAGGTGTAGGTAGAGGAGGTGTAGGTGGATGTGTAGGTAGAGGAGGTGGTGTAGGAGGAGGTGTAGGAGGAGGAGGTAGAGGAGGTGGAGGAGGAGGTGTAGGAGGAGGAGGTGTAGGAGGTGTAAGTAGAGGAGGTGTAGGTAGAGGAGGTGTAGGTAGAGGAGGTGTAGGTAGAGGAGGTGTAGGTAGAGGAGGTGTAGGAGGAGGAGGTGTAGGTAGAGGAGGTGGAGGAGGATGTGTAAGAGGTGTAGGTAGAGGAGGTGTAGGAGGAGGTGTAGGAGGTGTAGGAGGAGGTGTAAGTAGAGGAGGTGTAGGTGGTGTAGGAGGTGTAGGAGGAGGTGTAGGTAGAAGAGGTGTAGGAGGAGGTGTAGGAGGAGGTGTAGGAGGTGTAGGTGTAGGAACCTTCGGTGTCCGGATGTGTTCCATTGCTGAGCGGCGACCCGGGGTCAAACCACGTGATGGACGAGGTGAGGAGGGTGACGAGGAGGGTGAGAAGGTGAGGGTGACGAGGTGAGGGTGAGGAGGGTGACGAGGAGGGTGACGAGGTGGGTGACGAGGAGGGTGACGAGGAGGGTGACGAGGTGACGAGGTGAGGGTGACGAGGTGACGAGGTGGGTGACGAGGAGGGTGACGAGGAGGGTGACGAGGTGAGGGTGACGAGGTGGCGAGGTGAGGGTGACGAGGAGGGTGACGAGGTGAGGAGGGTGACGAGGTGACGAGGAGGGTGACGAGGGTGACGAGGTGAGGGTGACGAGGTGAGGGTGACGAGGTGAGGGTGAGGAGGGTGACGAGAAGGGTGACGAGGTGACGAGGCTCTCCCTCCGACGCCGCTTTCGCTGTTAAGTTTTTGTGCGAGTGTCGGTACCCAGCGAGAGAATCGATTCCTTGGAATCGTAGTGGCTAATGAGTTCGACGAATCGATTTCTTCCATGCGCAGGGTGGGGACGGAGGGCGTGTTTCGATTCAGCGATTCACATTTCCGGGATCGATCTTGGCCGCCTGACAGCGGATTCGCAGAACCCACAATCGATTCGACATCGTTTCGTCCGATTCGGAATCGCATTTTAAATTCGGAGTCGCGTTTAGATTCGGAAAATCGCATTATGATTTTGAATCGCGTCATCGATTCCGAATTGTTAAACTGCTGCACAGAGGCAGGGCGAAGCTGAAACTAAAATAAATAAATAAAATTATTCGGGCAAAACTATTTAATTTAAACTAAAAACTAAACTAAAATTTGTTTTAAATATTTTATGCGGACGAAAAGATTTGATTTCAACTAAGAACAAAAAATATTTTATTCGGGGGAAAAAAAACGATTTCTTTTAAACTTAAATATTTTAAATTTTTATTTAAAGCTTTCGTTACTGCAGGGGATTCATAATCTTGGTTCTTTCGGTAAAGTCACCCCCGCGTAGAAGGGAAACAATAAAATAATAGTTTTATAATTGTAAAGTCACCACGTAGAAGGGAAACAATAAAATAATAAAATATAAAACAATTGTTTATTAATTGTAAAGTCACGTAGAACAATTGTTTTATAATTGTAAAGTCACCACCACGTAGAAGGGAAACAATAAAATAATAAAAATATACAAAACAATAAAATTCTCACGACGTTTCGACTGCAACACAAGAAGCAATCATCATCAGGTGTGAAAACCCACAGCAAGAAAATTTGAAAAAAGTGGCGTTTATAAAAAAAAATATTTTTAATATTTTATTCGGGCAAAACTATTTAATTTAAACTAAAAACTAAACTAATTTTTTTTTAAAATATTTTATGCTGACGAAAAGATTTGATTTCAACTAAGACCAAAAAATATTTTATTCGGGGGAAAAAAACGATTTCTTTTAAACTTAAATATTTTAAATTTTTATTTAAAGCTTTCGTTACTACAGGGGATTCATATTCTTGGTTCTTTCGGTAAAGTCACCACCACGTAGAAGGGAAACAATAAAATAATAGTTTTATAATTGTAAAGTCACCACGTAGAAGGGAAACAATAAAATATTAAAAATGTAAAGCAATTTTTATTAATTGTAAAGTCACGTAAATAATTGTTTTACAATTCTAAAGTCACCACCACGTAGAAGGGGAACAATAAAATAATAAAAATATAAAACAATAAAATTCTCACACGACGTTTCGACTACAACACAAGAAGCAATCATCATCAGGTGTGAAAACCACAGCAAGAAAATTTGAAAAAAGTGGCGTTTTAAAAAATATATATTTTAAATATTTTATTCGGACAAAACGATTTCGTATAAACTAAAAACTAAACTAAAAAAAACTGAAACGTTTTATGCAGACGAAAATATTTGATTTCAACTAAGAACTAAAATATTTTATCCGGGATGAAAAAAACTATTTTTTTTTAAACTTAAATATTTTACTCGGGCAAAACTATTTAATATTAAACTAAAATACCACGTTTAGTTCTTTCGGTAAAGTCACGTAGGTACAAAATAAAATACATTAATTTAAATCACAAGCTCCCGCCACTTGGCCACGTGGCCTGACAGCCATTGAAGCAATTTCTCAACCGCATGAAATTCCTAACAAACCCCATCCATCAAATTCACCCAAGGATGGTTAAGCCACCATTCCTGGATGTTTTGTTTGAGAAGAAACCCAATGGCTCTTTGGGACGCTCTGTCTACAGGAAAGCCACCCACACAGATCCCTAACTGAAAGCTGATTCCCGCCCACCACCTTCCGGCACAGAAGAATTCCCTCATCAAAACACTGCACGGTAGGGCCCACTGCATTTCTCACCAACACCACCTAGCCAGTGAACTGGAACACGAACACCAGGCCGTTAAGATGAATGGATATTCGGTCCGCGTTATCCGCCAAGCGGTTTCTCCAACCACGTAGAAACAACCAACCCTCTGAGACTCCGATCGAAACCGTCACGTTACCATACGTAGCAGGCGTTACCGAAAAGATTGCCAAAATCTTAAACAAACACAAGATCCAGGTCCGATTCAGTACCGTACACAAAATCCGTGATCTAATCCCATCTGTGAAGGATGTCGTTCCTGACATGCAATATCGCGGAGTCTACAAACTACGTTGCCCCTATTCATATTCTTGGTTCTTTCGGTAAAGTCACCGCCGCGTAGAAGGGAAACAATGAAACAATAAAAATATAAAACGATAAAATTCTCACGACGTTTCGACTGCAACACCAAGCAATCATCATCAGGTGTGAAAAACACAACGAGAAAATTTGAAAAAGTGGTGATTGTTACGTTGGGGAGACGAAACGACATGTCTCGGACCGTGTTCGCGAGCACAAGGCAGATCTGAAACACGGCAGGACCAATACTTCCGCCGTAGCTGACCATTGCTATAACGCTGTGGGCTCGCATGATATTTTTTTTTTTTAATCCGAGACCAAGATGCTCTGCAAACCTTCGGGCTACTATCAAAGGATTGTTCATGAAGCCATCCAGATGTGTAAACGTAGACATAACTTCAACCGAGAAGATGGATACGAATTGAGCAATCATTGGAAGGATGTTACTAACCAGGTGAAACCTTAACTGCTTTATGGTGTTGCCTTCATATCCGCATCTCCAGTTTCTATTCAGCCTCCTACCCCCCAGCCCCGCACACTTCACGGCCACGGCATTGTGCTGTACTCGGTGATGGAGATTCACACTTCACGGCCCTGGCATTGTGCTGTACCCGGTGTTGGAGATTCACACTTCACGGTCACGGCATTGTGCTGTACGCGGTGATGGAGATTCACACTTCACGGTCACGGCATTGTGCTGTACGCGGTGATGGAGATTCACACTTCATGGTCACGGCATTGTGCTGTACGCGGTGATGGAGATTCACACTTCACGGCCACCGCATTGTGCTGTACTCGGTGATGGAGATTGGAATTCCTCACTCCATCTAGCCCACTCCTCCACCCTCTCTGTCTCTCCTCCCCTGGACCCGCCCCCCCTTCTCTGACTTATATATAAAGCCGCTTGCTACAAGCCGCCTCCTCTCGCTCACTTGGGCAGTGGTTTTCTTGCTGCGGTTGTTCCACCTGATGATGGCCACTTGTGTTGCGCCCGAAACGTGGTGATTTAATTTTATTTATTTTATGCTCTACGTTACTTCACCGAAGGGACCAAATGAATGCCTGCAGTCACGAAAACTTCAAATCTCGATTGAACTAAAATATTTTATTCAGACGAAACTCTTTCATTTAAACTAAAAAAACACTAACATTAAATTCGGACGAAACTTTTATTTTTCAACTAAAATATTTTATTCAGACAAAACTGTAGCCACACACACACACACACTACGTGTTCACACACACACACCACGTGTTCACACACACACACCACGTGTTCACACACACACACACCACGTGTACACACACACCACGTGTACACACACACACCACGTGTACACACACACACACCACGTGTACACACACACCACGTGTACACACACCACGTGTACACACACACCACGTGTACACACACACACACCACGTGTACACACACACCACGTGTACGCATACACCACGTGTACACACACACACACCACGTGTACACACACACACCACGTGTACACAAACACACACACGTGTACACACACACATCACGTGTGCACACACATACACCACGTGTACACACACACACACACCACGTGTACACAAACACACACACGTGTACACACACACATCACGTGTACACAAACACACAAACATCACGTGTACACACACACACACCACGTGTACACACACACACACCACGTGTACACACACGCACCGCGTGTACACACACACCACGTGTACACACACACACCACGTGTACACACACACACACCACGTGTACACACACACACACACCACGTGTACACACACACCACGTGTACGCATACACCACGTGTACACACACACACACCACGTGTACACACACACACCACGTGTACACAAACACACACACGTGTACACACACACATCACGTGTGCACACACATACACCACGTGTACACACACACACACCACGTGTACACAAACACACACACGTGTACACACACACATCACGTGTACACAAACACACAAACATCACGTGTACACACACACACACACCACGTGTACACACACACACACCACGTGTACACACACGCACCACGTGTACACACACACAACGTGTACACACACATCACGTGTGCACACACACACACCACGTGTACATACACACACCACGTGTGTACACACACACACCACGTGTACACACACACACCACGTGTACACACACAAACACCACGTGTACACACACACCACACGTGTACACACACCACGTGTACACACACACCACGTGTACACACACACACAACGTGTACACACACATCACGTGTGCACACAGACAAACACCACGTGTACACACACACACCACGTGTAGACACACAAACACCACGTGTACACACACACACCACGTGTACACACACCACGTGTACACACACACACCACGTGTACACACACCACGTGTACACACACACACCACGTGTACACAAACACACACACGTGTA